TCAACGGCTCTAGCCCAAACTGTGATATAAACAAACGCTATTGGCTATTTTAAAAAGGGGCAGGGCTGCTTGATATTTCCCGCCCTGTCTTCCTGTTTCAGTTAAAATGACGTCAACACATAGAGTAATGCTGCATGTTTCTAAGCATTTCAGGGGACCTTTAAGACACAGTCTTAACATGGTGGCTAAGTTTATGCAACTGGCCCAAATATTGAAACAAATATTTGATAATGTGGAGATTTTCTATGGTGCTGGTCCTCATTCATGGTCTGAGATGGTCTGGTCATACAACCCAGGTGTGTCCCTACCTACGGCCCCAATAAACTGGGATAAGCTCCAGCATCCTGTGACCCTACATGCGACAAGTGGTTTGTAAAAGAGTGATAGTTCTCATTCACATTCCTGGAGTGCACAGAACTGCACCTATTTGATGTCTGCTTAACCTGACGCACAGTGTGTGGCTTGAATGAATGATGCATTTATATAGCACCTTATTGTGTATTGTTGTACACGCAAAGCGCTTTACAATCATGACAACAGCAACCTAGTTTCCCCAGGAGGTCTCCCATCAACCCTGGCTCAACCCTGCTTAGCTTCAGTGGGTAACCAGTCTTGGGCTGCAGAGTGATATGGCTGTTGCTTGGGACATTTGAACCTCATAATACAGCTCTAATGCAATGGATTGCTCTAATAAATTAAGGTTAGAGATGCAAGACGTAGAATCCCTTGATTTGGCTTTTCATATGTCTAAATGACTTCACTGTCTGTTTTATGCTATCATCATCAATGCCATTATAAGGCTCTCAAGGGACTTTCACAAACGTACTCTTTACACTTTCTGTGCCATTCATGCGTTTGAGACCACAAATATATTGTCCTGAGTTTCATTTTGCCACACTGGTGATAATAGATCAGAGTCTTGCCCAGATTCAGATAGAGTTGATTAATAAAGCAGAGCGCTTAACTTTGTGTGGGTAAACACACTTTGTAACCTACACTTACATTTCTCTGTTGGATCAATAATTCATTGCTGGCGATGATTCTTTCATGAGACTTGCTGCAGATTATTCATGCTGGGCTGCAGAAAGTAGGACACATATAGAGTGAGCGAGCAAGCGCTGCTAGCATACGGATGAGAGTATCGCTGGAAACTCACAGGCTTCAATCGAGGGGCAGGGTGAATGCTCAAAGACGTCTAAATTAGAGAGTTAGCAGGTTTGTGGTTGACACAAAGATCGAGCAGGGTAGCTGGAGAACCTCGGTGGCCTACATTTACAGTATAACCTGAGCCAGGAAGAGGAATCGTCTGTGTGTGGGATGAAGTCATCACAGGTGTTGAATAAATGTTCAGGCAGCAGTTTTCTTTGCTGTCGTTAGCTCAAGGGCAGTGTGTGTTCAGGAAAGGTAATGGCGCACACATCGTGCTGCGAGAGGTGAATCTCGGGAGGGAGTGTGTGTATGATGGAGCGAGAGAGAGAGACAGAGTGATAGGATGTGTTGTTTTCGGGCTGTAACAAGTGTGAGAAACCATCTGGTTTTATAGTTGGTGGCACAAAATGCTGGTGTGTGGAGAAATAATATATAACAACCAAAAACCACAGCGGGGCAAACATTTCTGCAGCATTTCTGGTTCCACTGACATTAAACAGATGACAGGGGAAGACAAGCCTAACAGAATGCATTGACATTCCAGAGGCATTATTTTGTTGGGGCCTCACAGAGACCATGTAATTGTTGCTTTACAGTACGTAGCCTGAATTACAATCACTATGTGCTTATTGTTATGAATTGACTTTGTGTTCCTCTAGACCAGACGGCATGCCCACAGTCTGTTCACTGCCGCCTTGTGCATATTGCCAACAAAACTGGCAAGAAGCTGTGGAAAATCGCAAGCGCCAATCAGATTGGCAGACTCACTCTTAAAAATAAAGGTTGTTTAATGGCATCAGTGGTTCCAAAAAGGTCTTTTAACGTCCTTGACACCTCTCACTGGCACAAAAGTTTGTTCATAGTCAATGTTCTCCAGACAAAGAAAAACATGGTTCTTCAATGAAAGGTTCTTTAGTACAGTAGTTCTCAATTTCAGTCCTGGGGACCTCCTGCTCTGCACATTTTGTTTGTCTCGCTTATCTTATACACTGAGTTCAGTTCATGGATCTCGCTCCTAACGAGCTGATGATCTGAATCAGGTGTGTGCAGAGCAGGGGGTCCCCAGGACTGGAATTGAGAACCAGTGCTTTAGCGAACTCAAAATGGTTCTTATTTGGCATCGCTGCAGAAAATAGAACCTTTATTTTTAAGAGTGTACTATGCAACCATATTTTACTACTGTATTTACCGGGTGAACATACAAGCACTTTTTTATACATATTTCTTCTGTGTTTTATTAGCAAGTATTTGACTTTTATTTATTAATTTATTTATGTATTTATTTATAATGCGATATATTATATCTATTATGATACCTGGTATCAACATGTCTTCATGAGTTTTCATGAGTCTTTCGTGTCTAAGTAGGCAGTCAATGCACCAACTTGTTATAAATTGAACAAATATACATTTATTATTTAATATTAATTAATTAATTAGTTAGTTAATTAATTAACACCAATGAATACATTTGCTATAAGTATATCCATCCTTACCTGGATACACACAGTACGGATATATACACTCTAAAAAATGCTGGGTTAAAAAGGGACAAACCCAGCTATTGGGTTGTTTTGACCCAGCAGGGTCAACTTTACTACAATAAAGTTGTATATATAAGTATGTCCAACTTTATCCACACACATACAGTACTCTCGCGTAGGGCGATATATACTATATAGCAAATCTCAGTTGCTTGATTGCTTGTATTGTTGCAAAATGTAACTATATTATTGCACAGATGTAATAGTTGCAAAATTAACTATATGGCATGAAGATAAGGTATTATAAACATTAATGTCATGATTTTCTCATTTAAGCAATGAGTATTGTGAAAAGTGCTATACAAATAAATTTGACTTTACTTTGTGGCCAGAATAAATGCAATGTGGACCAGACTTTACGGTGACAGTCAAATTCTGGTTATGTTATACTACTGAAGGTCCTACTGTCAGAACTTGAGAATCTCTAAGGGGAAAAGCATAAAAATAGTCAAAACATGATTTCGACAGAGATGTAAAAGTGGGCAGTGTTATATATTATCAACAACCCAACTACTGGGCAGGGCTTGAATTCTCATAGCTAGTAGTTTCTTTCAAAATCACGTTTCTAATTGTACAGTTTGACATAAAAACCTCAGTTTATTAATGAAAACATTTATGATGTCTGTGTTTCAGCTGTAATATTGGACGGTAATATTCCAGTAGTCCATTTAGAGCTGAAAGGGCAGCAGGACATACTGACCTTTCTTACATTAATGGTGATTTTTCTCTCTCTCTCTCTCTCTCTCTTTCTCTCTCTCTGTCTGACAAACACTCAGTGGAGTGCAGCCATTCCCAGGGGTTCAGAGTCCACAGGAACTGCCCTTAGAAACACGCTCTCTGCCAATGAAAGTGAAGAAATGTGTTTCACAGGTGAGAAACACTTGAGATTAGTCTGCCTGATTGTTGGGAAGAAACACAATGTTTACACTTTCCCTTGTGTGGTATAGTGTGGTCTATTGTTAGCACACCTGGACTTTGTTGTCAGGGAGTGTTGTTTCTTCTTTGTCCATTCTTATCTATATTGCATGTGCTGTTATTGTGGTTCAGACACAGTTCAGCATTTGCACAGGACAACATGGCACTGCATATCAAATGTGTTCTGTGATAAAGTGTCCCATGTCTGGTTTATGTTTACTATGGCATTTGAACGTATCATGTTACTTGTAAAATATCCAATTATGAACAGTTGTTGGAGTGTGACAGTATAATCTTATGACTCAGTATTTCAAAATAAAGGTTTGGTGGATTTCCCCTCAAGAAAACCTCCAACAAAACAGTGTTCGCCAGAACTTCAATAAAAAGTATAGCACTATAATGTGGTGTTATGTCATTTTGGTGACTGAATGTGATGGATATACTGTATGTATATAGTTTATTCAGCAAGCATGCATTAAATTAATTATAGGTGACAGTAAAGTATGGAAGCTAGTTTCCAGCATCGGATAAAACAAGCAAACAAACATAAATAAAAAAAAAAATAATAATAAATAAATAAATACAAAAAATAAATAAAAAATTAAAAAATAAATAAATTTAAAAGGATATTATGACTTTATTAGATTTTTTCTCCGAATTGCGAGAAGAAAAGTTGGAATTCTGGGATGAAACTTTTAAGTATATTTAGTGCAATTGAAGTATATTTCTTAAAATACATTTAAAATGTATTTTTAATACTTCATGAACTACAGTTAAAGTATATTTGAAGTATCATTTTAATGTACTTCAAGTACATTTCAATTGTATTTCAGCTCATTGGAAATGCATTAGCATTACACTACTAGTAACAACAGCCTAATCAACCAAAGTAGCATAACCTTTTAAGTAAAACTGAACAACATATTAAACAACATATTTTAAATATCGCAATGCTTAATAATAGTTGACAAACGTTTGTACATTGTAAATGTTAAAAATGTTTTTCAAAATATTGTACTTTTTCAAATATTAAAATTATAAATACATTAAATAAATAAATTCACTAAAAGTATGCTTGTGTTTAGTATATTCCTTAAAAGTGTAACTAAAAATATATTTATTAACAGTATTTCTACTATACTTTGTAGAAATATACTAATAGTGTGCTTGTGTTTAGCATATTCCTTAAAAGTGTAACTAAGCATATATTTATTACCAAAGTATTTCTAGTATACTTTTTATAAATACATTAAAAGTATGCTTCTGTTTAGCATATTTCTTAGAAGTATAACTAAGCATATATTTAATACAAAAGTACTTCTAGTATACTTTTTAGAAATATATTAAAATGCAGTTCGATATATTTGTATTGCACTTCAAATAAGCATGTTGGGAATACAAATGTATTATAAACATACTACTTGAATTTCAAGTATATTTTTAATACATTTAATACTACGTCTTTTTCACCTGGGTATATATTCACACAAAAGGCTGTTGCTCTTTTTTATTATATAAATGCTGCCTTGGAGAGCATAAGAGACTGGTCTAGTCTGTTACTCATTCAAAGCTATTGTATTATTTTAAGTGTTTATTTAATGGTTTTAAAGTATTTTTTAGTGCATTTAAATTAATTGTTGCCTCATACAATGTAGTGTTACATTTGTACAATAGTTTACAATAGAAAACAGTTATTTTAAATTGTAATATTATTTCACAATATTACTGTTTGACTTTAACCAAATAAATTCCGCCTTGGCAAGTATAAAATACTTGATCATTAAAAGGACCTACTGACCTTTTGAACAATAGTGTTTATCTTTATAGTCACTATACTCACAGTAAAGTTCTAATGACAGCTGTTATATAGTTTTACAGCATTTTACAGTGAAATCATTTGTATTATCTTCCCAAATATGGTGCGGTCTACAAGATCTTAATAGCCCAACCTTGTTTGTGTGGTACATCGTGTTTGCAGCGCCTCCCTGAAAACAAAGCCATAAAAACAAAGGAAGTATCAGTTTGTCATGATCAGATTACTCTTATAACGTTTACAAGATGATAACAATCGTCTCCATATCGACATGCACTCAGACAGTCTGATGACCGGGAGTATATTATATGATGAAATAATTGTTTTCATAAACAAATTAGTCCCTTGAAATGGATACGGACGCATTGCAAAGTGGAGAGCCCACTTTTACTGTAACTGCCTATCTATCTCATTACATTACACAATTATATATTTATATTCATAAACATATTATAAGGTAAAATAGACTTTATCCATTCTGATAAGCCTATAAAGCTGATTTCTGCTTACCTTTTTTATTCTGTGGCACACCAAAGCAATTTTTGCTCTTTGTAATCTTTTATTTTTTTTCATCTGAGGACAAGTTCAAAGTTTCCTCCTAAAGCTCCATTTATCACTATGTCTACTTTAGAGGTCAGAGAGCCCTTCAGAATGAAAACACCCCTCCCCAATGATGCACTATGAGGTAATGGCTGATTTGAAGGCAAAAGTTGAGCTCGCTGTCAGAGATTTCCACAGGTATTTGTCAGATAAGAAGTCTGTATGGTCATTAGCGCATTAGAGCATGATGCAATCACACACCTGTGATGATAGACGGATACAAAGAGCCATATAACAAGCTCACTGTAGACAAGCTCTTTCAGGATCACTTGTATTTTTTTCTTAGCTAATAGTGTATATAATATGTATGGATGTCTAATCATAAATCAGCTGTCCTGTTAAGATGCTTGATGAATGCAGATCCTGAACTTTTTCATACGTGTCTATAGAAGTGCACAGAGTCTAGTTATCATTTGCACGCCTCATTGGACTTCATCCCATTGCCATTCATTACAGGGCAATTGAAGCATTTTGGCTGGTCTGTGCAAATTATGGTGTGGCAAAAAAAAAAAAAGATTTCAGATACCATTACATTAGAAAATGTCATACAAGAGGGCATTTAAATGAATGAATGAATGAATGAATGAATGAATGCATGAATGCATGAATGAATGGATGAATGGGTGAATGAATGAATGAATGCGTGAATGAATGAATGAATGAATGAATGAATGAATAAATAAATAAACGTATATGTATAACTTTTTACACAAAAAATAATGAATAAATAAAATAAAATAAAATAAAATCATATAAAAACCTTAATTATTTAGTTAAAGTCATTGCATAAAAAAAGGAAAAATGAGATTTACAACATTGTTACCTATTAAAAGATTTAAAATGTATAAAACGTAATACAATTACATTAAAATGTATGAAAACTATAATCTAAACTAAAACTATGATAAAATTATTTTATTATTATTATTATTATTATTATTATTATTATTATTATTATACACAGTTTTAAAAAATGTGTTTTTTTTGTTACATTTTTTTGCTCTTATTGTAGAATATAGTGAGAATATTGAGCCCATGCACAAGTAGGAAAAAATATTCAGAGGTTCAAAATGGGCAAAAAATATGCAATTTGGTGCAGATGCTGATATTTATATGGGCAAAAAGTAAGATAAAATTTAGATTAATTTGCATAAAATGCATATAAATATCAGTTGCTACTCTATGCTGTATCTCCTAATAATATGTCTCGGTGAGATCATATTTAAATGGTTCGCTCTGATGTTTCAAAACAAATAATTAAATTCAATACAGTTTTGACAAATGTTCCTGTCACGGAAACGGATGTGTGGAGGCAGGCAGGACGACGAGGACAACAAGAATTCCACTACTCACTTTTAATGTAGACACAACAAGGCAGGTACAGGTAGGTGAAACACACACACTCGGGGTAACATTCACAATAACCGACACCAATGCTCAGACAGACAGGAACTAATAAGGGGTGAATAATTAGAGGCAGACAGGTGAGCACAATGACGGTGATTAACTAATGATTAGACGGGCTAAACCAACACAAAGGGAAGAAACCACAACAAACAGTCCACAGGGGCGTTACAGTACTCCCCCCACCCAGAAGGTGCATCCTCGCACCGTAGAAACAGAGGGAGGGGCGGAGGGGGACTAGGAGGAGGATCGTCCAACGGCGGCGGAGCAGGTGGTGGAGGAGCCCGAGGCGGAGATTCGGGAGGCCATGGCGGAACAGGGGACTCGGGTTGCCATGGCGGATCA